TAAGTTAATGGAAACATGGGTGCTTAGTGACTAATCTAGAATTTTAGTAAATGATTAAAGAATGGATGATAATATTTTTGATATTATTGAGACAAGTTGAAAGTTAAGTTTATGAAAAACGATCACGCTAATTGAATGATGATGTTGAGGTTAAAGGAGAATGGAAACTTGTTTTAATTGATTGCCCGACGGATGGGCTGTGTGAATTGAGTTAATATTTAATGAAATTATTGATATTTAAACATGTGGATAGTCCAATTTTTAAGGGAGATGCTGCTGAAATTTCTGTGTGAATTTGAGTTATTATTTTTAAATAATTTATTGATATTTAACATGTGGATTTAGTCCAATGGATGGGCTGTGTGAATTGAGTTAATATTTAATGAAATTATTGATATTTAAACATGTGGATAGTCCAATTTTTAAGGGAGATGCTGCTGAAATTTTGGCAGAATTTAGTCTAATTATAGTAGTAATTTCAAATTAGCAAAAGTTTGATGTAAAAATTCTTGATAGTCAAAAGCAATTAAAACTAAACATATATATAGTGGTATAATAAGACAAGTTCTTAATTAGAATAAAATTAAATTTATAAAATTAATATAATAAAATAATATTTTGATATCATAATTAGAATAGGATTCGTAATGATATTTTTCAATTTATAAACTTAGTAGGGGCGTTTTAGGAACCTAATATTTCCTCCTCATTCGTACTTTTACATTTACTAGTCTTTTTTATGACGTGTGTCGCACCTCAACTATGCTCGTCATATATATATCTGTACTCATTTAATTTTATTTAATCTATATAATATTAAAGCATAAATTTTGTTTAGATTAAAATAAATACAGTTAATTAATTTGTATTGCACTTTGTCGTATAAGCTATTTGAAATGATACTACGTATGTACTTAATTCTATTTTTGTTTATAAGTAGTCTCAAAATAAAATTCAACCCAATCTCTAGACCTAATCCTTTAGTTTTTAATTTATAAATGCATATTTTGAAAACCTTAATAACTGCCCAAAAAGAAAATCAAGTCATCGCTCAATCTTCAACTTTGTGCCCTCAACCCTAAATCAATATCTATATACAACTACAATGAAAAATAATTATAAATTATTTTTTACTGCTAGTAAAAAAATAAGCAGATGATTTGATAATAATGATTACTTTGACTATAGTGACAGTACTATTTACCCAGTACTTAGAGAAAAGAATACATGCACATACACACAAATTCTTAAAACTCCAAAAAGTGACTCGAAACAGAAATATGTAATTCTCGTTTTTTTTTCAGTTTTATAAACATTGTTTTCTTTCAAGTCAAACTGATTTAGAATATAATAAAAAAATATTAAGAAAATTAAAAATATTTAATCATCAAGAGGCCATCTATTTATTGCAAAGGAGATATAGGTCTCTTACTAAATTAGAGTGATAGTAATTACAAATTAATTCAGTAACGAAAAAGAAAATAAAAAACAAAAAATTATTATTAATAATAGAACTTTTTTCGGAACTCAATATATAACAAGAAACAAACTATATTAAAAAAATTACCGATTTGAATTTCAAAAATCAACCCCTTCTTTAATTAGAAATGCTGTAATTTGATGAAATTTGATGTTAGATAGACGAAAAAAAAGAAGATTATAGCCAATTCATTAAATGAAAATTATAAAATAAATAATGCTAGGATCTAATTTCTGTTTCTTTATTTTTCTAAGTTGCAAATCTAAAATAAATAAATAAATAAGTTAATTAATTAATAAAAAAAGATTACATAAAAGAGACATTAGATCATCGCCAAATAATCCTCAATTTTTCCAACAGCCATACAGAAAAAGAAGAGTATACTTTCTTCAGTTTTCCCTACTACCATACAGAAAAAAAAGAGTATACTTTTTTCTTTTTTATTATCTATATATATTTATTTAAAAAATAATTTTTAGAAATTATATCCAATCAAATAATCACAGCTCATACAGAATAAGAAGAGTAATACTTTCTTCAGTTTTCCCTACTTGACACATACAGGAAAAAAAAGAGTATACTTTTTCTTTTTTATCTTATATATATTTTTATTAAAAAATAATTTTAGAATAATTATATCCAATCAAATATATAAATATAATGTTTTTTTTTTTTTTTGTGTTCTAAACCACAAGTATCCCGAGTGCTATCTAAGGTATACAAATTAAATCTCTGCTTTTTTTTTTTTTTTTTTTTTGTCTTAACCACAAGTATCCCGAGCCACTAGGGTAAAATTAAATCCTGCTTGATCTGGGTTGGCCAAAGAAGGGGGTAGAGTACTCCCACCGAGTATTCTCTACATCCATGATGATGGAACCCTCGACTTCACTTAAGAGAGAAGAATGTCGAACCGCTCATTGGTATAAAATATAATTTTCGAATTGACTACGACTAAGGTTATTTTAGTATATTTTAAATTGTAGTAAGGTCAAAATAGGAAATCCCATTATTCTATCATATTCCCATATTTATATATAGTACTAGTCTTTTTTATGATGTGCGTTGCATGTTGATAGTGTTCGTTATATTTTCATTTTTTATACTCTTTTATTTTTTTTATCTATATAATATTAAAATATTAAGTTTTTGTTTATATTATAAAAAAATACAATTGGTTAATTGTATTAGACTGCCATATAAACTTAATTGCAATATATTTCTTATGTACTTGATTTATTTTTATATAAATAAAGTGGTTTCTCTTTATTTTTATATAATAAAGTGGTCTCAAAATAAAGTCAATCCAATCCTTATACCTAATCCTTCAGTCCCTAATTTATAAATACAGATCCTTAAAACCTTGATAGATGCTTAAAAGAAAATCAAGTTATCACTTAATCCCCAACCCTTGCCTTCAATCCCAAATCAATATCTATATAGAGCTATAATGAAAAATAATAATAATTTTCTTTTACTGGTAGGTAAAAGAAAAGAAATGAAAAATATTCTGAATTAATAATGGTAATCATTTTGGCTATAGTGATAGTATTACTTATTTTGTACATTAGAGAAAGGAATATATGAACATATACACAAACTCTTGAAACTCCAAAAAAATGACCCAAAACATAAATATATAGTTTTAGTTTTGTTCAATTTCATAAAACACTATCTTCTTTCAAGTTTAACGTATTTAGGATATAAAAGAAAAAATATCAAGAAAATTAAAAATGCTTAATTAGGAGGCCATCTATTTATTGCAAGGGAGATACAAATCTCTTATTAAATCAAAGTGATAGTGATTACAAATTAATTCAATAACAAAAAAGAAAATAACAAATAATAAATTTTATTAAGAATAAAACTCTTTTAAGAACTCAACATATAACAAGGAATAAATTATATTAAAAAAATTACTAATTTGAATTTCAAAAATAACTCTGAAAATGCTATAATTTAATTAAATTTGATTTTGATTTTGATGGACAAAAAAAAACCAAGTTAATAACTGACAATTACAAATCAAATCATACTAGAATCCAGTATTGGTCAGTTAATAAGTTTATTCAAGTATTTTGTTTCTCTATTGTTTTAAGTTGCAAATTTAAAATAAATAAATAAGTTAATTAACTGATAAAGGAAACGTTATAGTCTCTCCAAATAAACTCGTAATTTTTCCTACAACCATAAAAAAAAAGAAGAGTATATTTTTTTTTCTTTTTTATTATTATATACTATATATATTTATTTGTAATTTAAAAAATAATTTTAAGAAATATATTCAATCAAATAATAAAATATAATTTATCTTTTTTTTTTTTTTTTTTTTTTTAACCACAGGTATTCTAAGTCCACTGCGCTAGAACTAAATCTTGTTCGCATTAAGTCGGTCCAAGAAGAGATAAAGTTCTCACAGCAAGTATTTGAACCACTCAGCCAAACGTTCGTTTGTATAAAAAGTAATTTTACGAATTGGCTATGCTAAGGCTATTTTAGGATATTTTAAGTTTCATTGAGGGTGATATCGAAAATTCTATTATTCTCCCTATTTCCACATTTATATATAGTATAAATTATAGATTACAGATAGATATATAAGATTAAATATAGAAAAAGAAATATTTAAAATTAATTAGAAAATAAGAAAATTTATAAAAAAAAATAGAAATACTTGAAGGAGAGAGTGCCAATAAAGCTGTTTGAAGTTTTTTTTATTTTATTTTAGGGATTATATATATATATATATATATATATATATAAATATATTAATATATATATATAAATTCTTTATATTGTCTAGTATACCTTTATTAAAATTTTATCTTATTTTTAATAACTCTCACTAATTCTTACTTATTATTTAAATATAATAATTGCTCATGTATTATAAGATGGACATATACGGAAAAAGTTAATATTGAATAAAAATTGTCCTTTAACTATAATAATTAGTACTTTCTTAATCACATTGAAATAAACAGTGAATTGTCTTTTGGGACGGAGAGGAGATATATATTATAGATATATTTAATTATTTTTTATTTAAATTTAGAAATTTATTATTTAAATATAATAATTGCTCATGTATTATTTAAGATGGACATAATAGAAAAGTTATATGAATAAAATTGTCCTTTAACTATAATAATTAGTACTTTCTTAATCTACATGAAAATAAACAGTGAATTGTCTTTTTGGACGGAGAGAGTATATATTATAGATATATTAATTATTTTTTATTAAATTTAGAAATTTAAATCTTAAAATATATGGACTATATTTATATTTACAGTTGAAAAATTTAAAATTATCAAATTTGAAATTAAATTTTTATAAAATAGTGTGGAATAAAATTTTAAATTTTAAAAAATATTTGGTGGGATGAAATTTTAAATTTCTAAGATATTTCGAATGGAATTAGAATAACAGTTATTATATTTCAATATGTCCGAATTGCCCACCAAACTTGGCCGCTAGACCGATTGAACCGATCGGTTCAAAAAACTAAAACTGCACAGTTTTCCATAGAGCAGAGAGAGGATTATAAATATAACATTAGGTATATTTTCTCTGCAAAAACTCTGAACGCTTCGGCTTCTATTATACTACAGAATAATCTCGGTAAAACTCTACTACCTCTCCTACTTTTAATTATACATGCTGATACTGATCGATTGATGATTGATAATGCAATACAATTTCACTTCAGATTAGATTTCTCTTTTCATATTATTTGTCTTGCTGTTTCTTTCTGTTCCTTTCTATTTGGTTTCTGTATTTTTTATTGGAAATTTTCCTGGAAAAGAAAATTTGCATCCATCAGTTTACTTGCTGATTAAAAATTAACGCCTGTCGTTATGATGGTGGTCTATATGGCAATGCTAGAGTAGTGTATGATTGGTGTGATTTAATCGTACTTTAATGTGTAATGTTTGAAATTTGATTACAATTTGGATTTTTATATTACAAACTTCAATGTGTTTTATCTTTCAAAATCTGATACTTATCAGTTTTCAGCAAGCAAGTTATCTTAATTAAGGTGCCTAATTTTGAAACAATAGAGATATAGTATATATTGTGGAAAGTATTATGAAGGTTTTGGTAATTTTTTCAAAGAACAATCATAATGGTTTTCAGTTGAGACATGTTGGTTATGGTCTAGACTCTATAAGATTGTGACTGCTGATTTTTGAAGGTCTATAGTCATCTTTCTACAGTTTGAATTTCATTCTTGGTAATGATTGGTTGAGGTTTTTTCTTTCTTTTTTCTTCCAACTCCGAAATCTTAACTAAAGCTATCTGTAGTTTTGCTTGTTTTCTCTTTTTCCCTACTTATGTAATGAATTAAAAGTTAGATTACTGTCAGACATATATGGTTGTTTGTATGTGTATATATGGTTGATTTGAGAGCTAATTGAAAACTCCAGCAAGAGCTCCTTCCCCCCTTAGTTGATCCAATGGGCGCTAAGTTAGCATTAACATGACATCAGGTGCAATGAAGAAAAGTGTCCTTCAAGGTCCAAAGTTCATCCACTAAGAAGACAACTTATTAATTTTTCAGCAGTCTGTATCAGTGAAGACGTGATAGGTCGCCTGCTATCCACAAAGCATAATTAGATTCTTCCACTCTCAAATTACCATTTAACTTGGTTAAGTTTTCCCTTGGAGAAATTGGTGAGCTCTAAGTGTGGAGGCACTTAAATATTTCAAATGTTTATAGCTAGCTGCAGTTCTCTATCATTTATCATAGGAAGATTAACCTTCTATGTTTAGATTGCTCAAAATATGATTTCTCCTTTTTCAATAAGTTGCCGTTGCTCATTTTATTTTTGTTAGTTTTGCTGCATGATGTCATTTCCCTTGCCACGTTAGTAGAGATTCTAGTGAAGATACCGACTCTTTTGAAAGATGAAGGCTTTTCTGTCATGCAGTACCTCTTAGAATCCCTGTTCTTTGCCATTATTGTTGTTGTCTTTTACTGAATTGGTCAGCACGCATGAGGGTATCTATGGAGTTTGATACGAAGAAGAAAAATGTTCAGGGAAAAGTTCCCGATTTTGGTGCGATCTTTATGTCAAACAGTGCTACAAAGGAAGAATGTTTTAGACGGAAATTATTCGGACTTCCATTGGGGCAAGCAGACTTTGTAAAGCAGGTTAAAGCAGGAATGATCTTATTTTTATTTGAATTCGAGAGTAGAGAACTTTGTGGTGTTTTTCAGGCATGTTCTGATGGTGCAATTAACATTGTGCCCCATGCATTTACATCATCTGGAAAGCAATTCCCTGCACAGGTATGCGAGGATGATTTCACTACTTGTACGATTCTTTTCTTCCTAATTTTTCATTTGAGAAAAATACAGGAGAGCCAAATGGAATGCCTTCTAAAGCTTAAGTGGAGTCATCCATTAGAAAAAATAATTATATTTTGTGGCAACTTCAACTCTATGTAACTCGACTATTTCTTGTTGATCTGTATGGTGCAGGTAAAGTTCACCATAATTTGGCATTGCAGTTCCCTTTCTGAAAGTGAATTTTGCCATGCTATTAGAGAAAACTATTTTTCACCAAACAAGTTTAACTTTGGGTTGTCTGCAAAACAGGTTCCTGCCCTATTCATGACCTCAATAACATGAAAAATTGATCTATTTGTGTTGTAATCAAGTTCTGTTTCTAACTTTTATCATTATAGGTCCAAGAGCTCTTGTCGTTATTCAGTTTGAGAAAGTCAAAAAATAAGAACCTTCAAGGATATTCTATCCGAAGTGAGGTTGCAAGACCAATTGCATTTCCTTTGCATAAAGCCAGAAATGCAGTTGATGGTGACCGCTTTTTAGTGATTGATGATGGGAAAGATAAGCGAAATACAGATGACTATTCTAGTCGTGCTTTCACTGCTAATCAAAGCATTCATGATCCTATCACCATAGGAGTGATTTCTCAGCCAGAATGCAAATGGAATGAGCTCAACGGTTCTAGGCCATCTGTCCCAAATGAGCACCCTGGTTTATTTCAAGCTGTTCCACCTGTTTATTCTAGCAAGTATGATTCAGAAAATTTTTTCCATAATGATCATCTTCAACAATCTATAATGCATAGCTCAATGGAATCACAAAACTTGAATGTTCCTTATTCAACAAATTTTGGGCATACTGTTGTTACAAGTGCTCCATCTTATGACCCTGAAGTTCCTGCCCTTAACTATAGGAACTCACCTGTGCCTGAATTTTCTCCTGATAGCAGTGCATTCCCTCAACTTGCAAACCAGTCATTATTATCACATGTAGAACATAATTTTACAAGCAGACATGCAATCACCAATTCTGATTTATCTAATAATATTCTCTCATCTTATCCCAACCTATGCGAATACTCCAAGAGGACCAGTAAGCTTTTCCTAGGGACTTTATATCCTGAAACAGTAGGAAAAGCCTCAGAATGTGAAATTCCCAGACGCTTCACTGTACCAAATCCCTCTTCAATTCCTCTGTGTTTTTCAGCAAGTGGAAGTAATAGAACAAATGAGGGTGCATCTTATTCCAACAGCCAAAGCAAGTCTTCTTCTTGCGTGTTTGATTGTAGCTATCCTGTAGTTTCACAAGACAAAGATGGCCATAGGCTTTTGCATTTTGAAAATTATGAAACCTTTGCTGCTGATATTCCTGTTCTGAAAAAGGGTATTTCTGGAAGCATAGACATGCATGATAACACATCAGGAAACCTGGATATCTCTTATTCAGAGAAAATTTATTCTTGTTGTCAAAAGAAAAGACCGAGTGTGTTTTCTCGCTTGTCCTTACCTCCAAAAGTATTCAAACAAAATACTGATATCCAAATTCGACATGTTGAGAGCAGCATTGATTCATCGGTGGATGAAGTCATGGCAATTTTGTATGAGAGTCATGACAATTGGGTGAAGGAAAAAAGTTTTAAGCTGCTGATCAAACGGCGTGAGGACATCATAAACACAAGGAACAAAAGACCAATGATCAAGATCTCCAAATCATCTGCAAATAAGTTGGCAAAGATTTCAGTTGATGAAGAGAGTGTGGTCCAAATAGCAGAAAAGCTACCTTTTGTGGATTTCAAGTGCCGTAGTGAAGTGCGAAGGCTTCAAAGTGATGCTAGTAGCAGGGTCTGTAATAAGAGTGTTGAAAGCAATGGATCCTTAGATGGGAAAAATAAAAGAAGAAGGTTGATTAGACCAAAATTCACCATGAATGAATCATTTGGAAATGTTATGGTTGGAGGCCAGGATAAGAAAGTATCACAAGTTCTTGAGATAGCACATGTCAGCACTGAAAACAATATAGATAGTAAGCAAAAACTTTGTATTGGTTGTGAAGAGAGGAATGCAGATGCTGAAAAAGATTCGAATAATGAAAGAGAAAATAATGTGGAAAATTGTGTTATGCCCTTCAGAGATTCATATGAAGAGAAGAAGGAAGAACCACATATTATTGGCATTGACAATGTGCCTCTTTCAGGTTTTTGCAAAGGTCAAAATTGTGATTTAGAAGAGTCCTCGACTTTTAAGAGTTCTGAGGATTATGGGTTGTTGCAAAATCATAATGATACTAGTTGCTCTGTTCTTCCAGAGTCATTTATTCAATTACATGAAGTAGAATCTGTAAATGGAGTCACATCTGGTGGACTTAAACATGATGGAGATAGCACCAAGTCGACTCAAAATGTCGAATACGAGAAGAAATCTTGTTCTATAACTGATGACAGTTTGATTAGCAGCTCAATGAAAAATAATTCTGAATTTGAGAAGTCAACTGATGAACTCGGAAATGGTAATAATGCAAGTAAGCAGCAATTATCAGTGGAATCTGTCAGTGGGCAGTGCAAGGCATCTGCTGAAATCCTTACTTTTGGCAATTTGCAAAAATCAGCTGAAGGGATATGTGAAGAACAGGATCAAAACAGCGTGTCGGTCGCAACTGCAAGCAAAAGCTCTAAGGTGAATTTCAAGGATGATATCACAAATGGTTGCGAAACCATTGCTGAGAATTGCTTGAGCAACCAAAGTTTGTTTTCATGTGAAGAGCTTGTGCATAGTGGTGTAAGTAGTGAAGGTTAGGATATAGAAATGCTGTCTTTGGAATTTATTGCTCTATAGATTGAAGCTTTAGCGCCAAGCTGTAGCTTCTATCCGTTTTTGAACTTTTCATGTTTCTTGCTGTAATCGCAGCAATTTTACACATGGAAATTATCCTATAAGCTTTTAGGATGTGTCAAATTTGTTTTTGATCATCTTCTATGAATGAAAATGTAGTTGAATTTTAGATGTAGGCCCTGCGTTTGACTTTGGCAGTTGATTGGAATTTTCACTGAGATTTCTGTTTTGAAAGTAATAATTCTCTTTTCTATGAAACTCGTCTGGTTCCTATTGTTTCTCTAATGATGAAAAGTGAATTTCGCGACTTGTGCATATTCTATTTCTGATGTGTTTATATCAGGAAAAATCTTGGTAGTCACTAGATATGCATTAGTTAATTTTGATTTTTCAAGTGGAATTGCTTTTAATTTGATATTTTAAATAAAATGATTATTTATAATGTTGAATCTTTCGAATAAGTTGAATCTAATTTTAAACAATATTTTATTTTAAAAATAATGCAAAAAACAATAAAAATATCTAAATTTAAGCAGTACCTATAATTGCTCCTAACGTGATCATGAAATTATATCATTCTCAAATGACTTGTAATTCAACAAGAAAAGAAAAGAATGCTAACCATGAAACACGCTGAACAAGCTTCAGGACCTTGAGATGAGGACGCCGCTCTGGATTAAAAACTTTCTGAGGAATGAGTTGGAATCTCCTTTCTGTATAGATTCCTTTCTAAGAAAGTTTTGCAGTAGACTTATCCCCAACTATGCTAAATTGTTTTTATATTGTCCATTTTAGAATAACAAGAAGAAAGTTTTACCAATTATATTTTTGTAGCATCCATATATGGCATTATTAAAGAAATCAAAAGAATTCAATTGTCTTTCTTTTGTCATTGATACTAACATCTTGAACCGGCTCTACCTTGAACAAAAGATACATCCTTTAAACATAAAAGCTAGAAAACAACATTCTATTAGAGTTTACAGCAACTAAAACAAAAACAAACACGAATGCTGTTTCAATAATCATTCATAATTCTCTTCTTCACCAAGTGAATTGATGTTACCATTCTAAGGAGGTACAGATAATAGAATCATGATTAGATGGTTCATTTAGGAAGTCAACAGCTCTAGAATGGGAATCTCAATATGACATTGTGAGGCCCCAATTCGAGCATTATGTCTAATTTGCTAAAGAAATCACAATGTTTATCTCGATTGAGTTCACAGAACTTGTTTTATCTTATTTGTGCTTTGAAAATGAGTTATTATTTAAGTTTTAACTCAAACGAAAATTTAAGAAAAACCCTTTTGGTTGACTCTAAATTTTATCTCAAAGAAAAAATGTACTCTTTCGCAAATTGAGATGGATTCTGGGACTACGTTTTTAATTTAAGCGATTTCTAATTTAGCCTAAACTTAAGGTTAGATTTATAAAAAAGATTTTCATAGATAATTTCTATTATGTGTGCAATATCAATTTATGTATAACTTAGAACAATCATTTCCATTATAAATAATAAATAAATAATTGAAGTTCAAAAATGACTTGGAATGCTATTTTTAGCTGCTTTTGGAAATTATAGAATAATCATACATCTCCCAAACAATAAAAAGCATAAAAGGAAAAGAGAAGAAGGTGAAAGGGAAAGAAAATCAGTTTTAATTGATTTAGTTTGCAATTTGAGTCCGCGTGTCTACATATCCCTTTGAATGAAAATCAAACCATGTCCTTCTTGCCATCTCACTTATAGGGGTTGATTTTTAGTTATTTTATATAATATTTTGTAGTTATGTTTACCAAATGATGAGTAGAAGAAGAAAAATTCGATTATCTAGTCCTGGTCGGTAACTAATGCTCTGGTTGGTTCGATCTGGTTTGATTCAACTCCTCTTAGTTTGTCTAGTTTATTGTATGTTTCAAGTTAGATTTTTACGCATCATATACCGTTGGAAACCTCTTTATGTCTAATTTGAAATGCCACTATTATTCGATCCCCTAGGATTAGATAATAGGTACCACATTTCCTGCTGAGGGCTTGGACCTAATCATGTTGCTAATTACTCAACTAAACCTAATTACATACAATATTAAACTACATTATTTCAAATATACTGCTCCATAATGACTTGGAAAATTTCTCCAAAAATCTTGCAAAACAACTGCAAGAATTTCCTCTACATAATTAATAATCCAAAATTTCAAACCTACCAAAAACACTTCCAATGATTCATACAACTCAACCAAACTCCAATGTGATTAACTCATCATTATCAATTAATCATCATCAACACATTCTCATTAAAGATCACTAAAGCAATTAGATTTTGAGCACGTAGCTTCAGATTCAGATTTTGAGCATGCAGCTCCAGATTTAGATTTTGAGCTTATAGCTCCAGATAACAGATTTATGAGCACGTAGCTCCAGATAACAGATTTATGAGCAGTAGCTCCATAACAAATCAGATTCACAAGTTGGTAATGACAGTCGTAACTTCCTTTTATCTCAAATGCAAATATGACAAAATTGCAATTTCAGATTAGGCTTATTTGCCTCAGAATAAATACCTTTTTGCTTAACTTACCCCTTTTCAGAATGAATCACATGCTTTGCACTCACAAATTAGGCTCTTTGGCCTCAGAATATCACATACCTTTTTGTTTAACTTAGCCCTTTTCAGAATGAATCATATGCTTTGCATTCACAGATTAGGCTCATTGGCCTCAGAATAACACATAGCTTTTGCTTACTTGCCTCTTTCAAACAAATCATTTCTTTTTCAGATCATAATATCAAGTATATGATAATATCATAACTGATATATCAAACAAACATTCATCATATATAAATAACCATCATAAGTTTTTAATCACAGTATATAGTGTAGTAGTATCAAGGCCTGGAAGACCTCCTCCTTCACCTTCTTTTAAGACCCTTTTACCTATACGAATAAGCAAGCACCTCAATACTCAGTATTTAATCAAACATTTGGTGCACTACAAAAAATTCACGCTTTTGCGATCGACAATTTGGTCGCAAAATATAAAAAATCGGTCGCTAAATTCGATCAGCGATTGATTTGTGATCGATAGTAATCGGTCACAAAATTGCTTGTCGCAAAATCTTTTGCTACCGAATTACTAATCGATCGCAAATTAGCGACTGAAAAATCGGTTGCAAAATTATAAATGTCTTCCTTCTGAAATCTTATCGCAAATTGGTCACAGATTGTGTTTGTCGCAATTATGAACAATGGTTGCAAATCGGTCGCAAATGTTGAAAGCAGTTGGTTGGTGATCTGTCACAATTTTAAATTTAACAGTTACAATTTTGTTTGCAGTTTAGTCGCAAATCCATCGCAAATATACAATTACAAAAAAAAATTTTAATAATATTAAAAACCATAATTTTTTGCACCTATGAATACCGGCATATATAAATATAAAATATATATATATATATATATATTTGTGTTTTGTCCGCAATTATGAACAATGGTTGCAAAATCGGTCGCAAATGTTGAAAGCAAGTTGGTATTGGTATCTGTCACAATTTTTAAATTTAAACAGTTTACAATTTTGTTTGCAGTTTAGTCGCCAAATCCATCGCAAATATACAATTACAAAAAAAATTGTTAATAATTATTTAAAAACCCATAAATTTTTTGCACCTCATGAATACCGGCATATATAAATATAAAATATATATTTTATATATATATATATATATCTCCAATATCTCACAATCAGAAGTATCATCATCAAGATCACAACACAATAACAATGTAAAGATGTAATTGTTAATGTAATGTACTGTACAAAATAAAAAACCACAAAAAGCTAAAAAGGTCCAAAATCAAATGTACAAGGTTGGTCATCTGCACGATACAGTGTCGTATCGCCGGGAGAGTACCTGCTGGATGTGTCGTAGTGTCGGCAGGCGAGACCAAGGTATCATCTGCAGTATTGGGATCAAGAGGAGATGGTAGTGGCTGCTGCTGAGTTGTCGAAACATCTCAATTTGTAGCAGGCGGAGGATCATAGGAAGAAGTACCAGCACCAGGCTGACCGGACATCAGAAGTACCAGCACCAGGCTGACCGGACATCTGCATGACATGCACTCTAAGCTCTGCAAGCTGTCTTTCCTGCTCATCAACACGAGCCCGTAATGCAGTAATCTCCTCGGCACTGTGGTCGGGCTATGGTCCTGAGCTGGCTGCAGAAGCGTACGATGTTGAGCCGCAGTAAAACTGTGATGCTTGAGATCCGATGCCATATACTTTCCTCTTCTTTTTGCCCCCTATGGCCTCCAGATAAAGTGCTAACTCATTAATTCTTGACTCAACTTCAGATCAGCTTGACAAGAAACAAGACGCTCGCGAGTTGTATTGTAGTTCTCTTGAAAATAAATAATTAATTAATCAATGCAGTTGCAAGCTTTATTATACTGAACTTGTACACATAAGAAACGACTAGAAGGTAAATGTAAATATTCTTTATTGTTACTTACATTGACGCCCAACGCACATTTATCGATAAACGTATGGCAATCGTGGTTCTTTGTGTGAGTGTAAGTAAACACCTCCATCGGTGTGGGCTCACGACCATATTTTTTAGCATGTAATGAATTTTTATGCATGATATATTAATATGGTGTCATTTCATTAAACATCTATTAATATGGTGTCATTTCATTAAACATCAATTTTATAACTATGACTAGTTGACTCACTAATAATCGAGATGTCTCTATAGCAGATATTGATCCGCCTATGTGTCGAGAAGGTCCTGCTCCATTATCGCCAGTCTCATTGCGCCTGTTTTGTGCAAATATCTCACGCTTTCTCTTGAATACAGGATTCTCCCAAGCCTTTTGCTAGCTCTCCCATATCTCTTGAGACACGCACTTGTGAACCCCTCCCCCGAAAACAGGCATATGAATGCATGTGACTAAGGGCAGAAATGCACGTGAATGTATGAGTCACCACCTTGTTTAATTATTTATTTTAGTGTAAACTAGGAGAAAACCCTAAGTGACTCCAATTTTAATTAACCTAATTACTCAATTAATTATCCCAAAGTTAAGGCATGGTCTTCGAACCCGAGGTGGATCCCGAGACTATGTCATACTGAAGAACTAACCAAAGAATGAATGCTTTGCAGGGTGATTAATGTAATTGGACCAATGAAATGTTTAAGTGATTTTGACTTGCCGCTCGAGGTTAAATCCATT